AGTTAAGCGACCGTGCTAGAACCACGGAATTCGGAAATGCCTAACACCTTCTTCCGGATTAACAGAATTCCTTACTCAGGATTTCTGGTTCGCAGAATAATAAACAGAGTCATATTCTCCTCGATTCAGGGATTAAAATTGGTGACTTGGGACGCCTTAAAATTCCCAGGTGACGACTCTGAAATAAACAAACAAATCCCGTTTGTGATATTACTTTAATTGGAGAAAACTCCCTACGCCCCTCGCGGGGCGGAAAAAGGAGGTGCGACAATTCCAAATTTATTTTGACAAAACTCATGGCCAAACGGGTCCTTAGTTATCATAGCATGAGACGTACGTTACACAAAAAAATCTTATTAGCAGTTTCCAAAAAATTTTCCATTTAAAATCATAAATACGTGTGGGATATGTGTAGTTCTTTCCTTATCTAAATCTTTTTTTTCTTTTTTGTTTTGAGGGTAACGAATTTAGTGGGCACAGCGCCGCCTCAGCCTTTGAAATGTTGTGGTTGCACACTCACCAATGTCTCTCTTTCATTATTTGCTCAACCCCACCACCTCCTCCACCAACCCACCAAACCGGTAAGCGAAAAAACCAAAAAAAAACAAGAGATTTGAAAAACAAGTTATTGCTGCGGCACCATCAACATCCCAACCATAGGTATTACTTTTCCACCAAACGTTTTTGGATCTGCTAAGTCTATTGCATATCTCTGTGAGATCTACTTCTTGGGTTGATGCTGTGTATTTCAGTTGTATGCCTATGTGTGCATGTAAGTAAAAACGTCATTGTTTGGCTGATGTTAACGTTTCTATGAAAATGGTGTGTTCAGTAATGCTTCTTTTTGTCTATGTTGGGCTTAATGTGTTGTTTTTCTTATGTGTGGGAGCTTTAGTTATAGAAGATATTTGTGAACATGTAATTCATTAAATGGCTGACTCAGTTACTATTGAATTTTGCAACAGCTAGAGAAACGAAGTTGAAAAATTCTGCAGAGCTTTTTACTTTTTAGGAAAATAAAAGAAAAATGAATCAACTTTTGGCTGCTCTGTTCTTTTGAAGAGGTGGTCAAAATTGTAGACAGTTTAGAACTTAAGAGAGATCGTTTCGTTCATTAGTTTTGTTGTACTTGCTATAGCAGAATTGGAAGACTGAAAGTTATTTGGTAGTTTGCCTTTAGGGGCAGTGGGGATGCATTTTCAAGGGAGCAAGGGGAAAAAAATACATTTTTGGTTTATGTTGCCAAGGAAATTTGAACTTTGACTTAGTCATCAACCCTTTCTAACACACTGTTTATTTATCACTTGCGAAGTGACCGATTTAGGATTTTAGACATCTCTAACTGCCACATTTTATGTTTTGCAGAGGGATTTGATTGGTGAACCTGCGATTTAGTTCTACAAGCAAAAATGAATTCTGCCATGTGCTCATCATCATCGTCATCCACGATTGCCTCTTCCTGCTGGCAGAATCTTCGAAGCAGAAAACATTATCTGTTGGCACCTGAACCTTTTGCAAGGGTTGGTGACTCAAGTATGATAGATACACTGCGAAGATATAACTGTAAGGAAGGGAAGGTTGTGATTTCAAGTCATTTGGTATCTGGACATTTGGATGCATCGCGTACAAGAAAAAAGTTGTTAAACCAGCCAGTTCCGAAGTTAGAATTTGTACGCACTCTGCTAATTGACAATTATGACAGCTACACTTACAATATATTCCAGGAGCTTTCAATTATTAATGGAAGTAAGCTCCCTATAATTCTTTGCCTTGAAGTTGAAATGAGTTTTGTGCCTGTATTGGCTTGTTCATATAACTTAAATATGTACTCCTGAAAATGTGGTAGTATGTCTTTTTCTTATGCCTTCTTTGTTTTGTATGTAGCAATCACAGTAGTTGGGGGTTTACTAGCACCTCACTTAAGGCTTTAAACAGTATTCTTTCTGGTTAATTTGTTTGAACACATGCGATGTTCTTAATGTCTCTCTGCCATAGTACATTTTAAAAATTACCAATACTTGCTGAAATAAGTTGTACTTCTCTTAGACAAGAACTTTTCTTTCTGCAGTTTTAATATGTCATGAAGTGGAAATTACTATCTTGAGCAGATCTATCTATAAATTTATTGTTGACGTTCTGCCTTGACAGCCCCCCACACACAAAAAAAAAAAACAAAGATCGTATCATTAGCATTGTGCGTATGCAGAAACTAGCTATCCTCAGAGATACAGTGCTTTTTTTTTTCCTTATTCTTTTCGAAGAAAACTATCCAAGGAGTAGATCTTTTTTGTGTCGAAAGTCTTGTCCACTATCCATAGAGTTTTAGCAAATGTGACGGCAAATATTATAGTAATGTCAGCTTGAAGTTGTAGGTGGCATGTTATTTCTTTTTTTGATAAGGTAAATTGTATTAATCAAAAGGGAGAGAAACTCCCGTATACAAGAAGTATACCAAAAAGTAAAGAATTTACATCAGAACATGATTCTCTACAAAAGACGCCCAATCTTCTATACAAATAGGGGCTATATGAGTGCACCAAAAAGCGATCAAAGATAAAAGACTATTCTTAAGATGTGAAAAGGGAGACTCAATCCCCTCAAAAGCTCTCCTATTTCTCTCCCCCAAACTTTCCACATGAGAGCTAACGAGGCGAACTTCCACGCCTTTTGCTTTCTTCTTCTACGAAAACCGGCCCAGCTATATAGCATTTCCTTTACAGTGCTTGGCATCACCCATTGAACACCAAAAAGGTTCAGGATCGCCCTCCACAAAGCCGAGGACACAGCGCAATGCAACAAAAGATTCTCCCCCTGAGCTTTTACACATATAGCACCAACTAACAAGTATAATTCCCCTCTTTCGAAGATTTTCAGCAGTCAAAATCACCCCCTCGACGCTAGCCATGCAAAAAAGCACACCTTCGTCGGCGCCTTAGGAATCTAGATGGAGGAGTATGGAAAAGAGGCCTCCTCTCTCACCAACATACTCTGGTAAAAGGACTTTACGGTGAACAGACCATCGCCACGTAAACCCTATCTCCAAGAATCACAAGTTAGCTGAGGCCTGTCTTGCCCATATAGTAGTGTCAGTAAATCTTGGAGCTCCGCAATCTCCCAATCTTGCATGTTCCTTCTAAATGAGAGGTCCCATACTACTCCCCCTTCATGCTCCTTATGAATCTGTTGGACCATCAATTCCATCTGATTTGAAACTCTGAAGGCGTGGGGGAAGGAGACCCTCAGAGTAACCTTTCCATACCACCTATGATTCCAAAAGCTGATTCTCCTTCCATCTCCCACCCTATAAGAGATGTTGCCACTGAAGGATTCTCAATTCTTCATGATGCTCCTCCACATGCCACACCCTAAAGGTGTTGTGATTGCCTTGGTCCTCCAACCCCCTCCCGTGAAATCGTACTTTTCTACTATGACTTCCCTTCATAGAGCACGCTCTTCTATCCCGAATCTCCACAGCCATTTCCCCAACAAAACTCTGTTGAATACCCTAAGATCTTTCACTCCAAGTCCACCCCACTTCTTTGGGGAAGTGACTGTCTGCCAATTCACTAGATTATACTTTCTAGTTTCATCCGCTGCATCCCAAAGAAAATTCCTTTGAAGCCGCTTCAGTTTTTCTGTGATGCTCACAGGAGCTTGCAACATGGATAAGTAATAGGTGGGCATACTCGATAAAGTGCTTTTAATGAGCACTTCCTTTCCGCCTTTTAGGGTTCAGAAAAGCGCCCGCTTCCTCGCTTTAAGCGAGAAGCGAAGCGGAGCGGGAGGTTGGGCACTACTTCAATTAAAAGCGGCTCAGGTAAAGAAAAGCGCCCGCTTCTCTCTAAAAAGCGAGAAGCGGTGAAGCGGATCGAAGCGGAAGAAGCGGAAGAAGCGGTCGCTTTTTGAATTAAAAGACCTAAAACCTTTTTTCAATTAAAAGACCAAATCGCTAACTTCTGTTCCAGACCCAGTAGTTTCTTCGACTTCTTCAGCAACAAACTAGGGTTCTAAACTAGCGATTTCTTCCTCACTAAAACGGTAAAACCAGCAATTTCTTCAAGCAAACTAGGGTTCTTCTTTTCTTCTTCAACACTACAACAACATTCAAGTTTCAACAGGTATGTTTTGCTTTTGCACTTTTTATTTTCATTATTCTTTTTCCTTTTCTTTTTCTTTTTCTTTCTAAACGTCCAAAAAGCGTTGAAATGTTGGCGAATTTTTTTTAGAAAAATTCTACCCAAATTCTGCCCAGTTTCTGCCCAAATTCTGCCCAAATTCTGCCCAATGATAGTGGAATAAAAGAATTTGACAATCTTGTAGAAGAATAGGATGCTCATTTTGTGTTTTAATTGATGCTACTCTTTAGTTTTTTAATTGAAGTTTTGAACATTTGCTTACAATTACATGTGTTGTCTATGCCGTATTTATTTTAATTTTTTTTTAAAATTCCGCGTCACTTAAAAAAAGCGAGCGCTTCGCTTCTCGTGAAATGGGAGTTGTCACTTTTACTCGCTTCACGCTATTTTTAACACTGCCGCCTTTTGACAAGTACCGTTCCTGCCAGCCTGCTAATCTTTTTTCAACCCTTTCGATCATTAGATTCCAAACCGTAGTATCCTTATGTGAAACTTCCCAATGGAAGACCCAGGTAAGTAGTGGGAAGGGAGCCCACCTTACATCTGAGAACATAAGACAAAGCATCAATGTTAGCAACCTCACCCACCGGGAAAATCTCACACTTGCCGAGGTTGATTTTGAGACCTGATACTATCTAAACCACTCCAGGACCTGCTTCAGGTAGGTCAACTGATCCATATCGGCATTACAAAAAATTAGGATGTCATCCGCAAAAAGCAAATGAGAGACTCTTCGGGCACTGGGCATCCCGATCGGAGCTGAGAATCCTCTCAAGAAGCCTCCGCCCGCCGCACGATCCATCATTTTACTCAAAGCATCCATCACTAGAATGAATAGCATGGGGGATAGGGGGTCTCCTTGCCTGAGACCCCTGGAGCTGCCAAAGAAACCACACGGGCTACCATTTACCAGGACAGAGAATTTGACTGAGGAAATGCAGAACTTGATCCATCCCCTCCATCTTGCCCCAAACCCTATCCGCATCATAATGAAATCCAGGAACTCCCAATTGACATGGTCGAAAGCCTTCTCAAGGTCCAACTTGCATAGTAAGCCGGGATCTCTATTTTTCCTTCTGGATAAGTTCATTTGCCACCAAAGCGGCATCCAGGATTTGCCTACCTTCCACAAATGCATTCTGGGAGGACGAAACAGACACGTCAATAACCTTCTTGAGTCTATTGAAAAGCACTTTAGAAATAATCTTATAAATGCTCCCGACGATATTTTCGAAGAGTCTGAGCAACATAAATAGGCCTGTAGTCACTGATACAAGATGCACCTTCTTTCTTAGGCACAATAGTAATAAAAGAAGCATTGATACTTCTCTCGAAAACACCATTCAAATGGAAGTATTCAATGGCTTTCATCAACTCCCCCTTGATGGTGTCCCAACAGAGCTGGAAGAAGGCCAAAGAGAAACCATCAGGACCGGGGGCCTTATCACCAGCACAACTCGACACAGCCTCGTGCACCTCCTCCTCATCGAAAGCCTTTTCTAGCCTGTCACTGGTTCCCTCTCCTATGTGGTTGAACTCTATTCCCCCCAAAGTCGGCCTCCAACTAACTTCCTCTTTGTATAAGTTTTCATAAAACCCCACTATCGCCCCTTTTACCTCCTCCTCTCCCTCAATCCTCACCCCATCCACAACTAAGGACTCTGAAGTTTCTCTTTCGATTTGCAACCGCCACCCTATGGAAAAATTTGGTATTCGAATCCCCTTCCTTTAACCATAGCGCCCTCTATTTTTGCCGTCAACTAGTCTCCTGAGCTATTGCTAACTCGACTATTTCCTTCTTAACCCCCCAATCTCTCTTTCTCAGATTCATCTAACTCCCTCGCCCCTTCCCCTCTCTCTAGATCCCCTAATTCATACATAAGCTCCCTCATTTTAACCTCTACCCTTCCAAAAACCTCCTTATTCCGCCTAATAATATCTCCCTTGAGCAATTTGAGTTTCTTCGAAAGGCGGAATGAAGGTGTCCCTGATACCCTGTGGCTTATCCACCATTCTTTCACCTTGTCACCAAATCCTGGCACCTTCAACCACATGTTCTCGAATCGGAAGGGAGCACACACCCCCTCCCTCTGCATCCATCTAGCAAGATAGGCAAGTGATCCGAAGTCATCCTAGGTAAAGGAATTTGCAGCACGTTCAGCACCAGCTTATCTAGGAGGGCGATGTCAGAAATCTATCAAGTTTAGACCTTGAGTTGGAGTCCTCCGCCCTGGCCCAAGTAAATCTTTCCCTTAACAGAGGAAGATCAATGAGAAAGTGATCATTGATGAAGTCAGAAAACTCCTCCATGGCCCTCGAAATCATACTACACCCTAATCTCTCCTCCGGGAATCTAATAGCGTTAAAGTCTCCCCCCAGAACCCATGGAATGTCCCATTCCCCCATCATATTAGCCAATTCCTCCCAGAAAAACACCCATAAGACACAATATCCCCCTTCTTCCCACCCCCTCTAACTGAGCTCCCTTCCTCCCTGTCACACACCCGGCCCCTTCTCTGGTACACCACTACATCCCCTAAATTATTCAGCAAATCAAGCAACATTTTACATTATTCCTGCTCCTTTGAGCTGTTTGTTCCCTAATTAAATAAAGTGAAGAAATAGAAAATTTTAAAAAGGAGCCACTCGTATAGTTCCCTTCATGTGAATACAATTTGTACTTATTGCATAAATAACTTTCGTGTAGTAAAGGTAGGATTTGAAAGAATTTCTTCCCTTTCATACCTATAAGTTGCTAAGCCTCCCTCTGACTATCTATGATAGGCCTCAATTTGGGTCCAGCTTGAACGTTTAGGACCTGTCGTTTTTCTTACAAGTTACAACATGGAAGAAAATGGTCATTTTTATCTTTCCTGAACTTTAAGATAGAAAGTTCCTAATCTCTCTCTCTCCTCTCTTTTCTCTTCTGTTTTTCCATTTTCCTTATAGAGGAAGTGAGAAAGCATGACTTGTGATTCTGTTATTCATTTTTTATTGATCTGTATGCTTTACACCTAAAGAGTATAATTTTTGGGAGTCATTTATAAGGCGTAAAACGGGAAATTTAGGATGATAAGATGAGAATAACATGAAACACTCTCACTTATAAAAAAAACATGAATGCTTAGAAAGATGAGGGTGTGGGTTTTACTTACACAGTAATAGTAAATATGTGCTTGTCAAATGCAGTGTTATCAAAGGGGAAAAACTCTAAAAGCACTTTAGGTCTATTAGGGATTTAAGCGCAAAGCGCACTTAAAGTGTGGGCTTTAGTAAAAAAAGACGCAACTATGGGAAAAAATAAAATATATATGTAATTCAAGGACAAAGTAATAAATTCATTTATAATGTTTTTCTTTACGGCTAATACATTTATTTTCTGATTATATTTGTTGTTTAGTACCTCTTGATTCCCAATAAAACTCACGGGCAATGAGGCGCATGTCTTAGTGCCTTGCCTTACACTGAAGCGCAACTTAAGCGAGGCAAAATGCCCTCCCTGAGCTTTTCTGAGCTTCAGGGCTTAAGCGCGCCTTAAATGAGCCTTTGACAACACTGGTCCAATGCCAAATTATCTGTAGGTGTCCAGTTTTTATTCTAGTCAGGTATTTGGATTCTCTTCTAAAAATAAAAGAAGTAAAAAACAACTTTTTGGATTCTCAAATTCCGATTAAGTCTCTTTTTTCTGATATGTTTTCCTGATATATGGATGCTTCTAGATTGTAACAAATTTGATAAATTGATGCCCGTTGCCGATGTGCAGTTATTAGGACAAAGTGCACGCTAAGTGTTAGATACCTTCATCTTCTATTGTATTTTTGACAATTTTGATTGGGTAGTCATTTGTATTAATCATCTAGGGCAAAGTCATCTTTGAATAGGCAGTTTCCCAGTCTTTTTCTTAATTTTACTGGATAGACATGAGTCTGTGATGTGTCGCATCTTTTAATTTTTATTTTGATACTGTGGCAGTGCCTCCGGTGGTGATTCGGAATGATGAGTGGACGTGGAAAGAAATTTATTACCACTTGTATGAAGAAAGGGCATTTGACAATATTGTGATATCACCTGGTCCTGGTTCTCCAACATGTCCAGCAGATATAGGTTTGACTTGGACTTATGAAATTTATGTGATCTAATTTCTTCTTTCCTTGTCTAAGACAACATAGATCTTCTTATTAACGTGTACTAAAATGCATTAACTTGTTCGAATCAGCATATTGGTAATTCACCCTTGCCTTAGCAATCCTGATTTTAAGTGTGTTCTACTGTTTTTTATTTTTATTTTTTAAATTCATTCTAAATCATGACTTCCCAACACGGCTCCTTTATCTGTCCTAGACGAGGATAACATACAAGAGTGTGCGTAGTTTAGCTCAGTGTTAGAGGTTGATGCTATTAACTTGGAAAACTTTCAATATGTTGGTATTCTACCATACAGGAGGGTGTTGACTATCTCATTGTCGTTTAACTTCAAATTTACTTGCTTGTTATGGTTTTTCGGAGTAGCCTTTCACGCCTTACACCTATGTTTCAGGAATTTGCCTGAGGCTCCTCCTTGAATGCATTGATATCCCTATACTAGGCGTCTGCCTTGGTCACCAGGTAATGTATCCATTTATATCTGTCTGTAATGTAATATTTTTTCATTCTTTAGCATACGATTTTACATGGGATCTGTTTGAGCAAGTTTGTACCTGCAACCTTGCGTAGCCTGTCTTGCTGTTCTGCTCTCTCCTTTGCTACTTGTCAAACCTTTACCAAAATGTGATTCTGGTCGATTTTAGTGCTGAATTCCTGTTCTTCTGTATGAGATAAGAAAAGTTTAAGTACTTGATAATTAACTGTTGTCAGGAAATAAGTTTATGGGAGACGGTATTTTGGAAATCTTTTTTTTTTTTTTTTTTTTTTTTTTTTTTTTTTTTTGGAAATCTTATTACCTTGTGTGTTACGTGGAGAAAGCAACAGTATGTACGGAATATAGAAAGTATCTTACAAAATACAAGAATTGCCTATGGTTGTTACGTGGAGAAAGAAACACTATGTACGGAATATAGAAAGTATCTTACAATATGAGGATTGGCATGGTTGCATAATATTTTTTATACAGAACACGTAGGTGCCCCCCTAAACTTGTCATTTTTTCTCTCATTTTGATACCTAAACTAAAGGTAGTACCTATTGAACATTTGAAGTGAAGACAAATTGTGTCAATTAGACATATATTTGACAGTTCCAAACTAACGTAGGTGCATGAAAACTACTCGCTTTAATGTGGCAAACAACATCAATAAGATAAATACATGTAAACCAAAAAGAGAGAGACACGTGTGAAAATAAAGTCTATATCTGCAAAAGAGAAGGTGGTGGTGTTCGGTCCCTCCAGCATGAGCATGAGCCACAAAGCACCATCAGTAATAGAGAGGTGCCAGGGTGGATTCCCGACCAATGCAGCTCCAATCGAAATTCTTAACACAACAGATCAACCTAATCAACCCACCTACTCCTTCCATGGAATGATGTAGGGTTGCGTTTCATTACTCTTGTGTAGATTCACGTATAGGTTATTGATCTTAAATTTGAGTAGGTGGAATTCAATTATTTTCTGTGAACACTTTAAGAAATGGAAAATAGGATGAGAATTGAAGAGGTGAAAACCAGAAAAAGGAAAAAAGAAAGAAAAAAATCAGATGGCCAAAATGGGCATTAATGTCTCAGAATACGAAGTTCTATTAAAAGTTTCATGACTTATATCTTAAAATTTTAAAACATATAGAGAGATTTGGTAAGGTCCTGGAGAGTGAGTGTTGAGCAGCGTGAAGCCTTTTCTGTCTGGATCTGAGGTGGCTGGATTTAAGGAGGGACAAGAGGTAGTGGGTTGTGCAGTGGTGGAGGCGCGGTGGTGGTGGAATTTTATTGGAAGGGGTGTTTGTTTGTGGTGGTTTGCATGGTGGTGGAGAAGGCATGGTGGTGGTGGTGGTGAAGCAGCAGCTATAGTGGTGGAGATGGTGGTAGCAGATTACCAAGGAGATTGCAGAAAAGACATTGAAAAAAACTAATTATTCTCGCGTTCAAAAGTGGTGTATTGCACTGACGGTGCCATGTCAGCGGTGTGTGTCTACTTGACACAATATATCTTCACTTAAGTGTTCATTGTTCAATATGTACTACCCTTAGTTTAGGTGTTAAAATAAAAAAAAATGGCAAGTTTAGGGGGCCTATCTATTCTGCCTATTTTTTTTGTCATTACACTATATTCAATTGATCTTCAAATATTCTGCTTCTTTCCTGTTATTCCAAATTTCTTCACCAACTGGCTAATAGTGTTGTCTATAACTTTAAGGTGGTTTTTGATAGCTAAAGGCCTAACAACGTGATATTATTATTGACATGTCACATGTGATAATGGCGTTTTTTCTGCAAAAGATACATTTTAAAGTAATATATTTCCAAAAACATGTTATATCTACCTTCTTTCCCAACAAATCAAGTACTAGATAAGTGGATTGACAACCCTTATAGAACTCATATAAGTCTGGCTTCTGGGTTGGCAATCCTCTTGTAAGTACTATTACATTTATGCGCTCCTTCACTTCTTTGTTTCAAATTTTCTATATCAACTAGATATAGATGCATGTTTCTGTATCTGCTCCTTCACTTCTTCGACTGGTGGGTGTACAAAATAAGGTACTCTTTTGCACCGTTTTGCTTATGTATGATTAAATGATGTAGGACATCTTGCTTTCAAATTCATTTCAGAGCAGTTGTTCATTGAAATTTCTGTGATTATTTTTTGCTTGCATATCTATGTTAATTCTCTTCAGTTTACCAAGCTAGTATTCGCAACATATTATGAACTAATTCTGAGTTGAACTAGCAACTTATGTTTTCCTACCTGTAGTTTCTGTGCTTCTTGTGTCTGTTCATACACATTGCTCTATTTTTACTTCCGCTAAATTTTTCTTCAGTCTTGGTATCAATAATCTATCATGTGTTTATACCTATCTTCTATCTTATTAATTCATTGTTAGAGATAACCCTGGGTACTTTTCTTCAGATAGTGTGGTTAATAGATCTTGTGTAAGCACCCACCCGTTCCCAGGGAAAAAAACATAGATATTCAACACTTGATGTGTAGGTACAAGCCTCTAGTAATGTCTTTGTGAATTTATCTGTAGGAGCTAAAGAGTGTACTTGATTTTCAAATGATTAAACAGGCTTTGGGATATGCGCATGGGGCTCAAGTTGTGCATGCACCTGAACCTGTCCATGGTCGTTTGAGGTATATGAACTGCGTTTTAAGTGTTCTATTTTTGTTGTCTTTTGTTTTTCTTTTTACTTTTTTTTTTTGAAAATTTTCTCGGTATTATGATAACTAATGATCATTAGAAATAATAAGTTATTGTCTCATTGAAATATGCATCTGTATCTACTTGATAAGATAGTGATTTGATACGGCAACATTACAATTTGAAACCAAGTTATTAATAGTTAGCTTATTGGAAACACTTATAGGTTTCAAAGAGAAGGTTTCCTGATCTTCAGAATTCACAGTCAGGAGCTTAACATCTTTACTCCTCATTTTGTGGTTTCTCATGTTAGTAAAGACTTAAATATGATATTTTCTGCTGGGCAGCTGTGGTTCATTTTTGGTCACTCATACTTTTCTCGTTTTCAAAATGTCTTTCTTTCTTAATGTGCAGTGATATTGAGCACAATGGTTGTCAATTGTTCCATGAAATTCCTTCAGGAAGAAATTCAGGATTCAAGGTCTGTTTTGTATGAATTTGCTATTCAGGTTTTCTATGTTTTGGTGTTGCGATTGGACACGTAAGCACATGAACAGTACTAGCTTGCCTTTTCACTTCTTTTTCCTCAAAATTTCATTTGTGCGTTTAGATTTTAGAGACTTGAGAACATCATTTAGATGATAAACTGAAAATTATACCGTGTTTATCTGTGTTTTACCGACAACCATATGATTGGTCACCCTCCATATAAGAGAGAGTAAGAGTTTTAGTCAAGGCTTGTTTTATTGGTTTGCAATTAGACATACACTGGGAAGCACAAAAGCATCCTGCATATTCTCATGGCTGTATCAGACTGGTAGCTATGTGGGATCAGCACACATGCCTTACATGCATGAGTGGATGACTATGGTACATTTAAGGAAGGTAGAAACAAGGAGAAGGATGACTCTTAGTTTCCAACTAAAGTAGTTGGATGCACAATGTAAGAATAAGTCTCAGAGCAGCAATTTGAGTGTAGTTTCTCATCTCTGAGTGTTAGTTTGGAAATATAATCATTGTAATGACACTTAAGATTAAAAATGGAAGTGAAAAATAGAAAGCAGGGGATGCTTTTATTGGCATTGTTGGATATAGCTTGGGGGGTTAAGTTAAACTTCTACTTGAGTAAAATGGAAGTTCAGTCACTTCATATATCATTCCAATAATACCTACCTTATCTAGGGCTCGTCATTACTACTGGCATTGTCTTTTAGAGTAAAAAATAATCTTGTCATTCTCTTCGTGTATTTGTTGTAGGGGTGGCAAATGGGTTGTTTGTACTGAAGTTGGGCGGGTCAAGATGAGTTGAGTAAATAAATGGGCTAATGCCCAACCTTGCCCAAAGTTCATTTGGGTCAAGATGGGATGGGTCTAGATGGACTAAACAATGTGTTGTAACCCAACACGCCCAATTTTGACCCAAATCTTTACAATATTCTCAACTTTTAAGCAAATCAAAATCCAATATTTAAAAAAAAAATTAAAAATATATTCACAAATAATCTCCTGACTCAAATCATGATATGTTGTGATAATGTGTTTCTTCTTTATTTTTAGATTTTTTTCATGTTTGATGATTATTTTTGTCAACAACAATTAGTTAAATAAATCATTCGACATCATGAAAAGAAAGTACTCATTTTGTTGAAATGAAATAAAATACTTTTTCTACATCATGAAAAGAAAATACTCTAAATAATATTTTCATATATTTAGGGTAGGGGTAGGGGTAGGGGTTGGG